CCCGCAGCGAGCGGGGCGCGTGCACGAGCCTCTCCTCTCCCCCTCCCCCCTTCCCCAGCCTGGTCCCCCCTCCCCGCTCTCCAGGCGCGCGCCGGGCGCTGTGGGCGGGGCCTGAGGGAGACGGGGTCCAGGGGGCGGGGCATAAGAGAGCATCCAATCGCCGACGTTCGAGAGGGGCTGGCCAGCATCCTCTAGCCCCCGAGGCCGTCCAGCCTCGCGCTCTCTTCGGTCTTTTTCTGGCCCTTTCATCCCCTCAACGTCGTCCCTAGACCCTCCTGGACATGGAAACTCCACCCTGCCTATCAGCTCTGATCCTGGTTTCCTACCCCACCATCGAGTTCAGCCACAAAACCCACATCCCCCAACCACAGCTCCACCGCAGGCTCCTCGCCCAACCCTAGTCCCTCTCCCCCCAGCACTGTCACAAAACCTCCTCTTTTTCCCTCCACGATTTCCACGGTCTGTGGAGTGACCGAGACGGAGGGGCCACGGGCCTTCGTGGGAGGGGCTAAGTTCAGCTGTCAGAACCTCAGAGTTCAGGAAACATCTTTGGATTTCTTTGGGGCATTTAATTCTCCCACATGACTGTCAACTAGTAAAACCACAGTAGCTGTAGATCCTGGGGCAGGGTAACTTGCGGCACGGTTGCCACTTGAAGAGTATATGAGGTAATTGAGAGTGGTTGGACTCACTTCTTAATAAAACACCTCCTCCCCTCACCGCCCCCTCCCCTTCTCCATTTCCCCTGTTGCATTTTTTTCCGCCTTCTGGCCTCTTGTGGAATGGCTCAGCCCGCCTCTGACATCGCTACGTGGAGAAGGGCCTGCGGTGGGAAGATGAGAGCTGGCAGAAGACCCAGCTTTGAGTCTCAGCTCAGCCATGACCAGCCAGCTGACTTTGGGCAAGTCACTTCTCTTTTCTGAGCATCTACTTCCTAAGATGTAGAATGGACAATAACGTAATAATGCCTGGCCTGTACTCTCATAAGGTTGTTGTGCTGATGAAGTAAAATGAATTTCTGAAAACATTATGCAATATTTCTTACAATTACTGCCCCACAAAAGCGGAGCTAATGAGAATGCTGACCATAGGTGATAAAATGACAAGTCCTGATACTTGTATAAGATTACCCTTTCCCAAAATCACCAAAGAGACAGTATCATTGTGTACATCTTGTGCTTAATGTGATGAAATGTGTTCAGTGTGTATTTGAGAGATTTTGATCTCTTGCAGTTCTGGGATAAATAGTTTGTTCATTCATTCACTCATTCATTCATTTACTATGACTGGAATATTTAGATAATTATTAACTTCAATCAAGGACACTTTTTTTTTTAAGAGGTTTTTGTTGTACGGTGCGTGCACTCACCAGAAAGACAGAGAGAAGCAGAGAGACAGAAAGCCAGAAATCACCCGCTGGGGGGGTGGCCACACCACAATCCCTTCTCCTCTCGGGATCTTGGGCACTCATGCACACGTGCCCGGCATGAGTTTAAGCCACTGGACCCAGGACTCAAACCATGGTCAACTACATGGGAGTCCAGTGACATAGCCATTATGCCAACAGCTGGTCCCCCACTTTTTTTTTTTTTTTAAAGGATTTTGCCACAGGGCATGTGCGTTTCCTGAAGGGAGACAGAGAGAGACAGTGGGAAGGGAAGTGAAAAATCTCCCCCAGTGACGTGGCCATTGCCACAATCCCATCTCCTCCATTTAACTCTTGGGATCTTGGGCATGCATGGACACATATCCGGCATGATTTTTTTTTTTTAAGAGAGATTTTTTTTGTTATAGGGCACATGAACTTGCCAGAGAGACGGACCGAGAGAAATCACCCCCGAAGGTGGATGGCCACGCTGCAATCCTTTCTCCTCCATTCTCCTCTGGGGATTTTTGACATACATATACACACGCGCGACCTGAGTTTATCAGGATTTTAGGCACGCACACACACATGCTTGCTGTGAGTTTTAAGCCGCTGGGTCTGGGACTCGAATCATGGTCGACTATGTGGGAGCCCAGCGACATAACCATTACAACACTGCTGCTCCCCCAGTATGATTTTTAAGCTGCCCGTCCAGGGCTCAAACCATGGTCGACCATATGGGAGTCCGGCACCTTTGACTACTACGCCACCTGCTGGCCCCATCAAGGAAATTACTTAATGTTACTTAAAAATTCATTTTCTGTGGGATCAGCAGATGGTTTAATGGTTACTTCACTGGACTCCAAATGGTCAGCCATGGTTTGAATCCTGGACCTGGTGACTTTAAACTCACACCAGGCACGTATGTGTACATAACCAAGATCCTGAGAAGAGAATGGAGGAGAAGGGATTGCAGTGTAGTCACCCCCTCAGGGAGTTATTTTTCACTTTCCATCTCTCTGTCTTTGTTTCTCCAGTGAGCGCATGCACCTGATAGCAGAAATTTCTCTTTAAAAGAAAATTCACTCTCTGGGGTCAGCAGGTGGTGTGGTGGTTTAGGCACTGTATTCTTCATGGCTAACCACAGTTCAGGCCCCAGACCCAGCAGCTTGAAAATCACGCCAGGCACATGTGTGTGAATGCCCAAAATTCCAAGAGGAAAATGGAAGAGAAAGGACTGTGACATGGCAATCCCTCAGGGTGACGTCTTACTTTCCCTATCTCGGTCTCTTTTTGGGCAAGTGCACAAACCCTATGGCAAAAATCTAAAAAGTGTATATTTCTAAGTAGCCAGAAAGTTGAATATTCTCATACTGTCAGTGAATTTTAAAACATTTTCTTTAAGAATGTTTTGTGCCTAAGCCTCCTGGAAGAAGCATTGGCTTTTATATTTAACAGTAATTATTTTTTATTTAAAAAAATTTTTTTAGAAGTTTTTGCCTTAGGGCACATGTACTCACCAGAGACAGAGAGACAGAGACAATGAGGGAGAAAGTGAGAAATCATCCCCCAGAGGGGATTGCCACACTGCCATCCTTTCTCCTCCATTCTCCTCTCAGGATTTTAGGTATGCACACATGCGTTCTTTTCTTTTCTTTTCTTTTCTTTTCTTTTTAATTTATTTATTTTTATTCATTCATTCATTTATTTTAATTCCACTAGAGAGAGAGACACAGAGAGAGAGAGGGAAAGTGAGAAAGCAAGCCATCAGGTCCAGGACTCGAACTGTAGTCACCCATGTGGGAGTATACAGTTCCTTAACCACCATGCTACCTGCTGGCCCCTTATTTTTTTATTTTTTATTTTTTTAAAAAGGTATGCAGGGAACCAGCAGTTAGCGTAATGGCTATGTCGCTGGACTCCCACGTAGTTGACCGCGGTTCGCGTCCCGGACCCGGTGGCTTAAAACTCACGCCGGGCGCATGTGCGTGCGTGCCCAGGATCCTGAGAGGAGAATGGAGGAGAAGAGATTGCGGCGTGACCATCCCCCCTGGGGGGGTGATTTCTCGCTTTCTGTCTCTAATGTCTCTCTCTGTCTGTCTGGCGAGCGCATGCGCCCTATAGTGAAAATCTCTCCAAAAAAAAAAAAAAAGGTATGCACACATGTGTTCTGCATGAATTTCAAGTCATCAGATCCAGGATTCAAACCATGGTCGGCCAAGTAGGAGTCCAGTGACGTAACTGCTACACCATCTGCTAGTCCTGGTCAGTTTAGACAAGGATATACATAGGGCTGTATTATTACATATCACTTTGAAGTTGACTTAGTTGACATTTCAACAGGAAAGTAGCTACTCGTGGGATCATTAAGTTATTCTATAAAGCTGGACAGATTGATCCATTTCCTTAAATTAAATAAAATGAGATCACAATAATGCTATTTTTTTTCCCCTAGATTTTTGCTATAGCACATGTGTACTTGCCAGAGAAACACAGAGAGACAGAAAGCGAGAAATCATCTCTGGGGATGGCCATGCCACAGTCCCTTTTCCATTCTTCTCTCAGGATTTTGGGCCGACATGCCCCAACACCTTGCATGAGTTTCAAGCTGCCGGGTCTGGGACTTGAATGGGAGTCGACCATGTGGGAATCCAGCACTTTAACTTCTATACTATCTGCTGGCCCCAATAATGCTATTCTTTTTTTTTTTTTTTTTTTTTTTTTTAAGAGAGAAAGAGTTCGGGGTCGGCAGGTAGCGTGGTGGTTGGAGCACTAGACACTCCCATATGGCTGACCATGGTTCAAGTCCTCCACCTGGTGGCTTGCTTTCTTACTTTCCCTCTCTCTCTCTTTCTATATGTTTCTCTCTGATCAATTAAAATAAAACGAATGAGTAAATAAAATAAAATAAATAATTCATTAAAAGAGATCTACTATAGGGCACTAAGGAATCACCCCTCCCAGGGGGTGGCCATACTACAATCCCTTTTCCTTCATTCTTCTCTTGGGATCTTGGACACACAAGTATGTGCCCAGCTTGAGTTTTAAGCTGCCTGGTCTGGGACTCGAACTGTGGTCGACTCGATGGGAGTCTACCACCTTAACCACTACGCCATCTGCTGGTCCTGTCTTATAACCTTCTTATATTCTAAAAATGTCTGAGGTGTTGTGACTCAGGGTTATAATCAAGCAATAAAAAAGTATTAAATAAGAAATTAATTTTTCCTCTCCTCTCACCTAAACATCTAGAAGACTTTTTAATCGATCATAGATTTTTATTTATTTATTTTTAAAATTTTTGCCATAAGGCATGTGTGCTCACCAGAGACAGACAGAGACAGAGAGTGAGAAATCATATCCCAGGGGCAATGGCCACACTCAATCCCTTCTCCATTCTCCTCTTGGGATTTGGGGTGTGTAAGACCCAGCATGTTTTTCAGAAAGCACATCCACGATTCTAACCCTGGAGTTCACCATGGGGGTGTCCAGTGCCTTAACCACCATACCACCTGTACTTAACCTTTTGGTAAACTGTTCTTAAAGTGGTTTCACCATTTTATATTCCTACCAGCAATTTCTCTACACTCTGGTCAACATTTGTATTATCTCTCATTTTCTCTCTTTTTTTTTTTTTTTTTAAAATTGTTTGGTTTTAAGTCTATTTGTTCATTTATTTACTTTAATTTGACCAGAGAGAGACACACAGAGAGAAATAGAATGTGAGAAAACAAGCTACCAGGTCCAGGACCCAAACCATCCAAGCCATGTCCAGCATCTTAACCACCATGCCACCTGCTGGTACCCTCTCTCATTTTCATTCTAGCTATCCTGATGGCTATAAAGTCATATCTTATTAGTGTTTTAATTTGCAGTTTCCTGATGACTAAGAATGTCAAACATCTTTTCATGTGCATATTGTTAACCATTTAGAGAATGTCCCTTTAAATCCTTTGCCTATTTAAAAATTGGGTTGTCTTTATTATTATTACTATTATTTTGCTATAAGGCCTTGCACTAATTGGAGTGAGAGAGCAAATGAGCGAGAAAGCAAGAAAGCACCCTCCAGGGGGATGGCTACATTGCAGTCCCTTCTCCTCCATTCTCCTCTTGGGATTTTGGGCATGCATGCACACACACCTGGGATGTTTTCAAGCTGCAGGGTTTGGCGCTGGAACCGCATAGTTGACAATGTGGGATCCAGTCACTTTAATCTCCATGTCACCTGCTGGCCCTAGATCGTCTTTTATAATTGTGTTGTAACAGTTTTTATGTATTCTGGAGACCAGACCCTTATCAGATAAATGATTTGCAAGAATTTTCTTCCACCCTGTTGGGTGTGTTTTCATTTTCTTGATAGTGTCCTTTGAAGCATCAAAGTTTTTGATTTATATGCAGTTCTATCTATCTTCATTTGTTTGTTTGTTTGCGATTTGGTTGTTATATTTTAGAAACTAGTGCCTATTCATGGATCTTCATTTGTTTGTTTGCGATTTGGGTGTTATATTTTAGAAACTAGTGCCTATTCATGAAAATTTACACCCATGTTTTCTCTAAGAGTTTTATAGCTTTAGCTCTTATGCTTAGATTTTTTATTCATTTTTAATTAGTTTTTGTGTACAGTGTGAGTCAGGGTAGTCTAATTTCATTGTTTTGCATGCTGTTATCTAAATTTCCCATAACCATTTCCTGAAAAGACTTTTACTCATTGAATTTATAATCAATTGACCATAAATGTATAGGTTTATCCTTGGATATTCGATCCTGTTCCATTGATCTCTGTGTCTAGCCTATGTCAATGTCCTAGTCTTGATAAGAATCTCATATTTCTTTGTTTTAAGGTTTTTGTCATAGGGAGTGTGTGCTCGCAGGAGAGGACAGACAGAGACAGTGATAGGGAAAATAAGAAATTACTCCCCGGGTGATAGCCATGCAGAAATACCTTCTCCTTCATTCTCCTCCTGAGATT